AGGGAAAGAAAAGCTAGAATAGTGTTAAGAAAAGGAGAGAGAGAAGAAAAGCACTCTTAAGGGCGCTCTTGCTGCTGCAGAGTCTGTGTCTCACTAGTGCAGAATCGGGCTCTGACCATTTTGTCTGTTTGTCGAGCTTTTTCACGGCAGAAACTGACCCTCTTACTTTCGGTAAAATTCCAAGAAAAAAATGCTTATGGTTATGGTAATGCCTCTTTATCCTAGCCTCTCAAGAAATCAAGAAAGGAGTAAATGACCTACAAGATTGGTGAGGTTATTTTGTCAAGGAGTGTTGTTAGTGCTTATAGTCAAGAATAATTGGGTGAGCTTATTTTGTCAAGGTGTTAGTGACTTGTTATTTCTCAACGACAGAGAGGGAGAGATCAGCCGACTCCTTTGAACGATTAGTCTGTCCAAGGATGAGGAAAAGAACCCTATGTAATGAAAATCGATCGGGAGAGAATGGTGAGTTTGAGGGCGTACCAATATTAGCAGCAAGGAAATGAACTTTCTAACAATCTTTTACCAAAATCCTGGTCTTCTTCAGGTGTGTGATATTTGACTCCTTTTCCTCTTCTATTTAATGCCAAAGTTAATTCGGACGAAATGGATTTTGACATAAAGGGTTATATCTAGGCAACTAGAGAAGTGCACCCTCTGTCTAGGTTGTGGTAGAGAAAGACCGATACGGAGAAGTTATCAGAAAAGTTTTAAATTAGAAAGAAACCCTTTCAAAACATATAAGAATCTCATTAAATCTTTTCAATATTTCTAGCAGATGCAAGAAGATGCCCCTCCCCTTCCCACAAGAAAGCTTAAGCTGTGGCGAAAGAATGAGAGAAACTAGCTAGGTTAGATATGTGTGCGCGCAAGCTTGTAATATATATAAATTGAAGGATACATAGATTTCCATGCAAGTACACAAAAAAGAAGATGAAGAAGCTTACCCCAAGAGTCTGAATGGACTAGCTAGCTTGTTGTATTAAAATTAATAATTTACTTGAAGACAGAAGAAGAAGACAAAAGGAAGTGGCAGTGGAAGGGGGTGAGGGCGAAGTAGAGGAAGGGAAGATGAGAAAGAAGAAAAAACCCGTTAGGAGTGAAGTGGAAGATGGGGGAGAATATAAAAAGAATACAGAGAGCAGAGGACCGCTCAATTGCGCATGGTCGATTGTTGTCCCCAGTCCCATACGTCACACCCTAGCTTCCTACAGAAACCTCTTTAATCTATTTCTCGTTTTCTATCTCGTGAGAAACTATACTTTTTGTTCAAATGTTACCCTGCCAAATCCAAAGCAACATTCCCAAGATAATAATAATAGTAAGAAGAAGAAGAGAAAACGAGAGCTGGTACTGCCAAACATTGTACTTAATTGAATTCTTCTCTTTTTACTAAGTTTCACGCTCAAGTTGGGTTTGGTGTATGATTAAAAAGGTAAACAAAAGGTGCGGGTTTGGTTGAGAAGGTTAAAAAAAGAAAGCTATTGAAAGTTTTTTTTTTTTTTTAAGAACGATGTAGGTTATTTGTGGTATGGGATAGGAAGGCGAATTATTTGTAAAAACATAATAAAAATATAAAAAGGAGTGATTATTTAGTTTGATGATAATTAAAAATCTTAACGGGCATTTTAAAGGTTTTTGGTAAGAAATTATTTATATAATAAAAAAAACAATTATTATATATATTTTATTTAAGACAAGTTGCTTCGTATTTATTTTTAATGATAAAGTTATTTAAAAGCTTGCTGAAATTAGTGTATGTTTGTTCAGTACTAGATGTAAAAAAAATATGTTGATTTAGGATAGTGATTTGAGATCTAAGTATAATAACCATGTTCAATCCTTAATTTTAAAATACAGACATGGGACTTGCAACGATGATGAGCAATTTATTAGTATATACATGTTCAAGATTATATTAATTGAAATGAGCCTGAAGGCCATCACTCGTGTTTAATTTTTTATGTGAGATCATGCTAATTGAGTTCCAATTCGCTCACCACACTAAACAAAGATATCCCAAAATAAAAATAAATTCAACATAGATAATTATAAAAAAAAAATTAGAAAACAAAAATATTATCATTACCACCGCTACCATCACTATTATCATTATTTTGGTGTGTGTGCGGGGGGGACATCTTAGAGATATATTGAAATACAATAACATGGTGATGAAATAATCAAGCAAAACTCTAGGATAACGACGAATAACAATTCATTTATTCTAACTGGATCAATGAATAATAAAACCATTAATACTCTATAATATTACCAAAAAAAATGAGAGGATATTTTAAAAGTAGTTTGGATATGATAAGTTAATGTTTTGAATAATCTAATTACTCATAAATCAAAACTCTAGAACAACGATCAATGACTATTTATTTATTCTAAATATGTCAGTGAATAATCAAACCATTAATGCACCATAATATTGCAAAAAAGAAAAAAAGTTTTTGGACATTTTGAATACAATAATGTAATGTATTAAACAATTCAATTACCCACCAATCAACACTCTAAAACAACACTCAATAACGATTCACTTATCTTAAGCAGGTTTGTGAATAATAAAATTATTAGTGCGCATAAAATTGCATATTAAAATCATTAACACACAACAAAACAAATAAAAAACAATATCATCACACAACATCAAAAATAAACATCAACATAAGAAATAAAAATAATATCACTGCACAACTAAAATAACATCCACACATAAAAAACACATCAACACATATCAAATTTCACACCAAATTCTTATTTAAAGGTGATCATAGTCTGGGTTATGATCCAAGAATGATATTTAAGGCTCAAATAAGACAACAAGAGATAATTTTTTATTTGTGAAATATACATTAAAGATGGCTTATTTTCATCTAAAACTCAAATTTGCTTATATTAATAATTCTTAGCCTTATAAAAAATCTATCATTAATCAGGAAAACCACGAGGTTAACCTTGGCAAGCAATGAGAATGGTGATATCATAACTTGAATACACATTACTTATCATTGTTATCATTATTTCAGCCACCAAATTATTTGACTATATTTTAAACATAACCATATCATTTTAAACAAGATTCTTATCTTTTTTATTTTTGTTAAAAGTGAAATTGGTATTTTACGATCCTAAGAGATTTTGAAGCAAGATTTCACCATTTTAAAGATTACTAATGCAGGAGAAAGCATTTTAAGATTTGGTATAAAGTGATAACTGGGTATACCTTTTAAGATTTGTCAGTATTGAAAAAGAAGATTTTAGGTTTCAAATAAAAAGATTTTCCCTTAGCATTTGTATGACATGCTTTGAAATTTGATCAATTTTAGAAGTTTTTATCTAAATTTGATCAAACAATCTTCTTAATGAGTAAGACCCTACCGATACACTAATTTTTTATGAGTTCAAGATTATAAAACATTTCTCCAACAATGTTTTTCAAGGATTAAGATCAAAACTGTACTAATCTTTTTATGATGTCAATGGCTCACAACTGGTGGTTTCTCATGTGGTTCAAATAGCACTTACACTTTCATAATAAGTAAGTCTCTCGCAAGAATTTTCACACTTTATAATAAAGAGAAGATTACAGAAAATAGAGCTCAAGACTTTATGAATGTAATCTATGTAAAACCCTAGTTAAATATATTTAAGTATTAGTGTGTGAAGTTTTATGAATCTAAAACTTTAAAGATGGTGAACTTTAAAAGTAGTATGTGATGGGATATCTGGTCAAACGATAAATTAATTAATTAATTAAAAAAACAATGATAGTTATAAATATAAAATTAAAGGATAGATAAATAGACAAACTTGGCTTTTAAAGGAAGCCAAAATGGTCAACCACCTAGTAGAGGGAAAAAAAGAGATTTAAGCAAAAATCCATGATAAATTCATACAAAAACTACTAAAGAGAGTTAAATTAAAGAATAAAAGAGAGTTTGAAAAAGATTTGAGTAAGAAAAATTGAATGAGGAAGAGGAAAATAAGTTAATAAAACTTGTACTTTCATATATTCATTCCCTCTATTTATTGTGTTTAAAAGGTAAGGAACTTTGATTTGAGCTTAATTTGAATTTCTTATGATAATTGATACGTTTTACATGTGGTAATGTTATATAAATTGTGTTTGAATGAATGTCTTTATGTTAGATTGAGATTAATAAGTATGAGAAATTATTAGGTAAGATGTAAATCGAAAGAATTGAAGACGTGAAACCTCCTCCTATCTTAGGGTGAGGTTCAACCAAAATGATGGAAAAAAAAGGTTTGAGGTTGTTTGAATTATTTGTTATTTACATCACGTAGAAGTATGTTAGTTTAATACTAAACGAATAAAAAATGTATTAATTTCAAAGAAATTTGAGAAAAACTTGGGCAATCCTTTAAGGAAGGAAGTTTGGCCAAACATGTTAGGGTAAAAAAGGTAAGTTTTTGGTAAATTATTGAAGTAATACATACTAATTATATGATGAATAATGTGAATTATTGATGAATCAAGTTTAATTTGCATGAAAAAAAAAAAAAGGAACCTTGGAATTTATGATGGAGGTTCGACTTATATATTAGTTAAAAGGGGGGACTTAATTTTATTTTAAAAACTTGATTTGAATGATTCAAAAATGATGAGAATATAATCCATGTATGAATAAGTTTAAGTTACATGGAGAATCTAATTGGAAACTTATGTGTTTTTGGGTGGTGCTCGGCCAAACAAAGAATAAGAGATGATGTGATAAATTGAATTGAAATAATAAGTGGAATTGAATTGAAATGAGTGAATAATATGTCATGAAATGAAATTAAAAAAAAAAAACTTTATGAAAGATTGGAAATAATGGAATAGAACCATTTAAACCAAAGTTGTCCCAAAGATAGAAAATGAAAGGGTCTGTGGTTATAATAAATTAATGTGAATAAATATGAGAAAATAATTAAATGTGATTTGATAAGTGAAAGGAATTAACTACTTGAAAAACTTTTGTGAAATTCCTTGGATATAAGATGAAAATGAGATTTTTAAGATAAGAATTTTGAATTTAAAATAATTTGTATTATGATGATACAAAAAAAGCTGCGAAAGCTATATAATTGTCAGGGACAATCAAACAACAATAGGCCTTGGGTAGGTGATTAAAACCAAAATAAATGTTATTCATTCTTTTAAAAGTCAATATTAACTACTACTTTTTTTGATTTCAAGATTTTATTGAAATCATAGTAGTTGGCAATATATATATTGGATTAAGAAATTTATGTTGAAGAATAGAATTATTGGATTCCAAAAGGAAATTCTAGAATAATTGGCATCTAAGGTTGCCAGATTGATTGAGATCTAGTTGGGATTACTAGAATTACTGGCTTTCAAATGGGAATGTCAGAATAATTAGGATCGAAGTAAGGTTGCCATATTAATTTGTATCTAGTTAGAATTATTGAAATTATTGGCTTCTAAACAGCTATTCCAAAATATTTGATAATCATGAGAGTTTATTGAATTCATGGATAATCGAATGAGGGTTTATAGATTAATTAGTATTTGGAATGAATAACCAGATTAATTGACTATGAACTATGATAATCGAGTTATTCAACCAATCTAGAAAGATAACTAAGAAGATTGGAGATGTAATGGGATGTGCAAATTTATCTAGCACATTGTTTGAATGATTAAAATAAAAAGAACATAATATAATTGTGAATGGACTCTTTATGAATTATTTGAAATAATATAAATCCATATTGAAGATTACTGTATTATCATGGTAATTCTTGTTTCAAGTCTTCCACAAGGTTATCAAAAATAAACTTTCATTATTTTTTCCCTAACTAATTAATAAAATGGATTTATGCATAATTTTGTATTTATGGACAATGAATTATAATATCTTAATTATTATTTTTGGCATGCAAACTAAGGTAAATGGACTTTAATGTTTTGCTAGAGAAGAACTAGTATTTAATGTAGTAATCATGTTTATCTTATGTCATTTCCTTATTATTCAAGTTTTACATTGCTTTAATAGTGTAACATATTGATTATGTTAAAATGATAGTGAAATGTTATTGAGATATTGAT